TCATTAACAATCATCAGGAAAATCTCTAGAAGAAGTTCAAGTATTGGCCACTAGAATTATAAATTAAGAAAAGTATACTAAATCATAACATTAGATTGTGGAAAATGAGAATGATAGGAATGACTTATCAAAACTCTTGAGAACTAAAGAAGAGAGAAGGGCAATGCAAAGATGGAAGAATGCTTTCCTTGCTAATAAATAGTATCAAATACAGAGTAGGAAAAATCAACATGAGTGACCTGTCTGAAAGTTGAGAGACCATGTATTCTTTTCACTCAAGAAAATTTAGTAAGCACCTACTAAATGCCTCATAGTATGCCCAGGACTGCAAAAGTGCCAAAATGTTAAGGATGGTATCCATGTCTTTGGAGCAGCTAGGGGAGACAGTAAAATAATTTTCTTTCTGTTCTGAAAACAGCTTCATCCTAGAAAGATATATTTAAAAATTTCACCAGAAACTGCTAGACTCATCTTTCCTGGCTAAGACCTCTAAGATGATAGGAGTTGCTCATTTTTTGAGTTGTTACTTAATATACTAAATAACAGCAATCTATAAGGAATTGGTTGCATATGAAAAACATTAAAGGTTCAAGTCAGGGCAAAACCTTGCCAATTGATTCTTTTCACACCCTCTCCAGAACTGATAGTGCCTTCTAAAAGGCTCAGTGTGTTCAAATAACTGAGTGAGAAAACTATTCCACTGATATCCTGAGAAATAGAGACAACACAATGGAGCAAACCTATTGGATAGGGAATGAATAGGACAGATAATGTAAAAGAAATGGTTAAGATTCTAGAGAACTTTGTACAGAGAGGAAGGTTGCAAACTAAGGCATAGATTTAAAGTTCCCATTAGGGGGAGGTCTCAGGCAATCCTAGACTAGATACTTTTGACTCCCTCTGCTTTTATGCTCCCTAATGAGGACAGATGAGTCTGTCATCACAGACCAGAATAATCCCTAACAGAAAGATATAAGGGTCCCACCATAGTTAGGACTGCTTCTAGAGTCTGAGAGGAGTTAAATGCTCCATCATCCAACTCCTTTGAATCAGTGTCAGGGAAGGTCATTGAGAGGATAGGACCACCAGGTGACCCTCAAACTGGACTTGGGAAATTGGAGGCTCCTCATCTCTCTCCCCTGTCCTACTATGCACAATGTGCCCACCATTCAGAATGAGAAAACACTTGAAGGATTCAGTCCTGAGAGCAGCGTGCTCCTGAGACTACGTTGACTTAATTCCTAACTGCAGCCCTCTACATAAACTCTTACAATTCTGAAAGATACAGAGGGATCTCTTCATCTTTCCACCACCTACGATAAACCTTGATAAAATTCCTTTGCTTATTTGAATTGCCTGTAATCAGTCTGGAATGACCTACCTCTTTCTTCTGTCTCTTCTTGCTCTTTTCATACTAGAGGCAGTTTTGAATTTCACCCTGGGGTCTCCCTAAGTTCTGAAGCAACAATCAATGCAACTTCTAAGGGAAGAAGAGAGGGTGGGAGTAGCTGGTCTTTCCCAAGCCTTCTAATAAACATTATGTAAAATAGTTAATAAGAGAGCCCACCTGACTTATATGTTTTTACAAGCTATGCAACTAGCTGTTATGACATGAGAATTTCAATCAAAACTATGTGGAAATAAGATATTGAAGAGTTTTCTTAACTATGATAGTGCTTAATCTTTAAAAAAAAAAAAAAGCAGTGCAAAGTAGTAAACAGATTATAGATTTCAGAACCACAGAAACTGGATCTAAATTGTAGCCTATGTAAGTTACCTAAACTGTCTCAGTCTCACTTTCCATTAGTAAATTGATATATGATTACCTTCATCATCTTTTCTCTGATGCTTCACTAGACAATGAAACTTATGTGAGGCAATCAAAATATACTATTACTTTGCAAGTAATAATGTATAATTACTGGAATAAAATTGAGGCATCTAAAAGTTTGGCCAATGGCATTTTATTTTTTTTCATTTTGAAATGAAATTATTTTCAAATTAGAAAAATCTTCACTCTTATTCTAATTCCATGGAGACGATACTTGCAATTTATAAATTCAAATGAAATACCATTGTATATACACTGCAGAGTAATTCCTATCGCTAAGGTTCCAAGATTTGCAGTTCTTTCCCTCTTAGGTTTGTTCCTCAGATTCACCTAACAGGGAACAATGCACAGCAGTTCAAAGAACTAATAGAGAACCATGAGATAATTGAATTTCATGCAACTTTGGTTTCAACCAGTTCTACTGCCAAGTTTAAGGAAGGGAAGAATAATGCCAACCCATTCTATAAACGATCAACATCAGAAACAGATTCAAATCAGAACCATTTATCTAGGGCTTGCTATAGACAGGGAGCAAATAAAGTATAGTATCTTCCTGCCAAAAGATGAAAAATAGAGTGGGAAATACAACAGGCAGGTAAAATATAGCTCCCACCATGTTTTGGTGTTCATTTGACATACTGTCAAAATGAAGAGTGGAACATACCCCATCCCAATCAGCAGTCCCTACAATGCTTCTCTTTTCCCTGTTTGGACTCTATTAGTATTATGATTTGCATAAAGAGAAGACAGTGGCTTCTCTATTTCACCTTGCTGCTGCTGGTGCCTCATAGGAGAAATAGACCACTAGTAGGAAGCAAGAAAAACACCCAGGAAGTGTATTTTATTTTTGGCTTTTTACATCATCATCCTTTGATGGAAAAAAGTTATACTTCATTTGAAGAAAATTGGGTTCAGTAACATAGTATTCATTTGTGCATATTGGAAAATGCACATTGTGTTTATCATGCTTTTGTTTCTAAATACAATAGTATATCATTAAGAAAGCTTCAGGCATATAAAAGCAACCTAATTCTTGCTATAAATATTATTAACTTTATTGAATCAATGCTATCCTTTCAATCAAGCCTGTAGGTTCTAAGAGGCAAGAGAAGAAAAATTACATAAGTATCTTCAGTGGTCATTTAAAACATATCTATATGTAGTTTTCTATTAACCTGAATAAAGTCTTTCTGTAAACTTTTTTTAACCACTTTTGTAAATTGAATTCCACTATTTTGAAATGAGCGTTAGCCAAAACAAACTGCAGCAATATAGATATAAAATGGATAAAAATTAACATCCATTTATCTCTTTGATGCTTTACCATCTAAAAAAGGCAATTCTTCATGACATAATACAAATATGTATATATTCTAAATGCTGATTAATACAACTCAATGTAGGAAATTTGTTAAGTAACAAGAAATACAAAAGAAAAACAAAAGCCATGATTTTACCAACTGATTTAGCTATTGTTATAGCCAACATTTTATCCATGCCTATATTCAGTCACTGACTCTATAAACATATAAATATATTGTGTATATCTATTTAATATATATGACTCATTGCATATATCTATGTATCACATGTCCACATGTATGTAATACATGTAATATATTTTATATATTGATTTATATATTTATAAATCATATATTTATAAATATGTGTAATATTGATAAATTGATATATTGATAAATGATATATTGATAAATATGTGTAATATACTATATATACATATATATGTAAACATATATTATATATTGTCTAAGACACTGCTAGAAAATAAGGATACTTTATAAAGATTAATGCTTTCTATCATCTGTTCATTTTTTTATTTGCAAAATAATTTTCAATTTCTTATTAAGTGTGTAGAAGTCAGGAAAGGCACATTTGAGGACATATTTCAACTTCCTCTATCAGAATAATCAGAAGGAGACTATGATGAGTAAGGACAATCTTAGTAAAAAGCATAGCATGGTGTTATAAACTACATATTGTATTTGGCATGCTTTCATATCTTTCCATGTCAATATTCTTCCATAGCATAGTTCATGATTTCATTATATGATTCTATTATATGTGATGGATATATTTTCTGATGCTGTAGGTACATAAATATCAAAAAATGGTGCATTTTATTCTCGTCCATATTGCTGTAACAACTTACAAAATAATTTCTTTAGGATAAATTCAAATTCATAAGAATGGACTTGCTTTGTTAAAAGATAAACACACTTTCGGGCCTCCCCGGTGGCGCAGCAGTTGAGCACTCGGTTGAGAAACTGCCTGCAGCCTCTGCAGCACCGGTTTGATCCCCAGCTGGTCCCTGGTCACCAGAGGAGAGTCCCACATGGCGCGCAGACCCTCCTGCCACCTGCTGCTCCCCTCAGCAGTGTACTTCGGTCCTTCTGCCTGCTCTGCTCCCTGCTCTGGCTCTGGTGAATTCTCTCACCCTCCCGCACTTCTGACTGTACCCAGTGCTTGTATAAATAAATAAATAAATAAATCTTTAAAAAAAAAAGATATACACACTTTCAAGAATTTAAAATATATATATATATAAAATTCGCTCTAGAAAAGAGTGTTAGTTTACACTCACACTAAAGTTGTATGAGAAAATGTATTTCTCCACATTTTCAATAATCCTTGGTATTATTCCTTGTAATTCTTGCCAATTTGAATGGCAAAAAGGGAGAAAACATTTCACTCTTTTTATTTGTGATACTTTATTTCTAGTGAGATTCCACATTAAAAAATATTTTGCAATAGGCACAACACATTAGCTGGTTGGTTTTCCAGACTCTGAAAATACTAAACCAATGAAGAGAAGTAGCAATGAAGGGAGGGTTTCTAATTCTTATTTTTATTTTGCAAGGACTTTTAATGGTATGGGGTACATGGTACACATGTACCATGGATTTTTAGTAATTGAACAAGATTTAGGAAATTCTACAATTTGAGAAACATTTACTATAAATGCCATGACCCTTAAAAATTGCAGAATGACTTTATTATTACCGAAATTCCATGCTATAGACTTTAAAAAGGAGAAGACTTGAAGATGACTAGTTAAAAATAGAGATAATCTCTATTCATTCCAAAAGTTGCTTATAGCATATTTCCTGAAATAATAATGCTCCCCCCCCCCTTTCTTTTTTTCCTTAAGGAAAAACTGGAGTACTTCCTGGGTTGTGCTTTCTAGTCAAAAAATTGAATTTCACAAAGAATCCAAGCAACAGGCTGGGTCTAATCTGGTAGGTAATGCTCTGTTTCTAATATTATAATCTTTACAGAAATATTGTTGAATTAAAAGTTTGCTTTCATCAGAAATCACACTAAAGCCTCTGAGCTACCAACATCTGAGAGCAAATGCAGGCAATGACTCAATAAACTTTTAATCAGATGAAGGGAAAATAGAACTTAGTGTCTGTTTTATTAAGTGGTGCATTTGGAGAATGATCACAAAATGAGATGAATGGTGAGTAGCTATCTAGTAATGTGAAGGTAACACTTTAAATTAAGGTGCCATTTATAAATGCTTTATTCTTATTTATGAAATGATCACTAAATGCAGCTACTTGCTCAAATAATGTATTATAAAGTATGTTATAAAATGCATTAGTAATAAATGCTTAACGGATGATACTGTGGGAAGCTGTTTTAAAGAATATTATAAGACGTAAATTGTATTAAACCATGTATGTGCATCTTTAATACATGAATTTAAGTTGTTATCTAGCTTGCTATAAAGTGCTTTACACATTAATAAATAATAATAAACTGTTTATAAATGACATCTTAATATAGGGTGTTACCAATGAAGAAACACTCTAAGTTAACAAAGTGATTTTTTATCTTAGTCTAAATGTGACATTCACTATATCTAGCTAACCTTTCTGAATATTTCTATGACTCCATCTAATGGGACTAATACAATTTCTGTATCCTATAGTTATTACAAAGTGAAATTTGTAGGTTTTTTTTTTTTTTTTAATTGTACCTGGAGGAAGGCCTCATGTGAGTCCACGGAGACTTGACAGTGATCGTAAGTAGGAGCAATTTGAAGCTAGTTACTGGGGCAATCCAAGCTCAAAACCTTGCTCCCAAACACCAGAGCTGCCACACGATAGGATAGTGGGTAAGCAGCATATCTGACAGCCTCCTGATTAGGAAGGACTGCAGGCAGGAACCAACCTGCCATACCCCATCGGCCTGATGGGCAGCAGGGAACGGGGTCGCCTGGCAGGAGTTAACCACAATGAACTAATTTGTATTTGGCAGGTAATAAAACGATGGAAAGTTCTTTGCTTTCCAGCCACTAGTTGTGTTTGCTATGTAATCCTCTTTAAATAGGAAATAGAAAATCATTTGCTAGGAGATGTTTTTTAAAGGAGAAGATTTTCATAAGAACAAAAGGTAGCATTTGGCTTGCTCCTGATAATTGCAATAGCCTTTATACCCAAGTGGCTTGCTGATTGTGGAGTCTCGGTGTGGTTCAATGTGTAAACTAATTATGAATAAATTAAAAATATATCTCAGTCTTTTGTATTTTTAATTTAAACTGCCTCAGAAATTTGTTTTAGGATTTTGTTTTGTTTTTATTTGTTGGCTACAGTAAGGTTGAGATAATCTTTTTAAGAAAAATAAAGTACCCCTAAGGGCCAGGCACAAAACAACTCCCATCCACTCCCAGGTCCTTTGTCTGGCTTTTGAATGAGTTCTAAGGGGGAAGTCAGAAAGGGAGCAAAGTCGTTTGCCTTGCTGAGTTTGGCTGCTGAGAAGATGATCTTCATCCTGCTGGGTTAGAAGAATTCCATTGGAGCAAACTGTATGTGAATATGCTGGGATAATGGGAGAGATTAGATTCCAAATTAAGGCATTTGGTTTATTCTTATTTTATTATTTTAATCTCCAGGAGATATAATTATCAGCTGCTTAATTTTATACAGGTGAAAGAAACTCCTTTTAGACTGTAGGCAAACCTTACAAGTCAACTCACTAATTGCTTGCCTCTAGTTCAAACTTGGAATTTTAAACTGACAATAGATTTTACTTTTAGAAGAAATCCATTAACATTTTTTGGCAGTTGCTATTTATTACTTCTGGCCCCATTTTCAATGCTCTTATAGTTTCTCCCAGGCACTCATTGTCTTCAAAGTGAATTCAGGGCAGGAACTGTGTTTTGTGGTAATGCAGAAAAGAATTGCAGATTTGTGTTTGTACTGCATGGATTGTCTTGCTAGTCAACTTCTTGGATCCATTTCTAACCAAATATTAAAGGCCTAGTGGGATAGCCCACATTTACCAATTCTAGTCTCAGAGAAACAATATGATGATTGCCAGTCCTTGATTAAAGATGGTGTGGTTTTGTTTTGAAAGAAAGTTATGCTCAGGTTTCTGAACTTCCCTGTACCCCTTCTATACCTCCTGGTATTGTTCACAGTGCTTGTGAGGAAAAGTCTGCCCTTTCGTCCATGGGGTCAGAAGAAACTGCCTGAGTTGGTACAGAGTGTGGTTTAGAGGAGTAAATGACATTTCAATCTTTATAGGAATGATCTTTGAATGTTAATGAGGTGGTAAGACAAAGCAGCGAAGTAGCTAGGAGCTGAGCTTTGAAGTTGGATCACAAGGGATTTCGTTCTAGTTTTGCCATTTAGGAGTTGTCAAAGTTACTCAACTTCTTTGACCTTTAGAATCATCATCTGTAAAATGGGGATAGTGATAGGAGCCAACAGAATTAGTAAAAAATAAAATTAGTAAAAACAAAAAATATATAATAGCTGTGAAATAATTTTTAGATGCCATTATAATGTCTTATAACAGAATATATATTCCATAATACTTATTATAGAGTATAGCATTATATATATTCCAGAATACCTATTATAGAATATAGCATTAATTGTAACATATTATTATGCTTTATTAATTATGCACTTGAAATGATACAAACAATTACAGTATGAGAGAATATATTAATTCAAGGAACACCAGCATGGTATGGCAAACCAATAAAAGAAATGGAAAAATATGTATCGATGGGCAGCTTAAAATATTATATCTGAACCTGAATGATGCTGGAAATGAATCCATCCATCCCTTTAAATCTCAAATATAACCTCCTCCGTGCAGAAAAACATTTTCTTGGGGTCCTCATCTTCCTCTATTGGCTCTTATATCCTTATAGCTTTCACATTTAATACAACATGTCATAAAATATGCCTGATTTCACACCCTATGTTTGGGTATCTTTCTTTCTCACTGAAGTTCTTTTAGTTCATATCTAAGTCATATTTGTATCAAAACAGCCTCCCCTTGAAAATAGACACAGAATTACTTCACTGCTGTGTGTAAATCAAAGATTCATAGACACTGGGTCCATGGTAACCTATTTAAGGAAAAGAAAGACTGACCTTTTCTGTTTTTCTTTTTAATAAAGATAATTGAGGGTAACCTGTCAGTTACTACCATTCACTTTATAACAGAAAGGACATTTAAAATGTTCCAATTTGAAATCTTGGTGGGGTAAAACCTCAGAACGAAAGACCCTCTTTACAAGACAGGAACCTGCCCCGCTTCTCTGTCTGTGTACATTGTTCTCTTTTGTTCATTTCACCTCCAACCAAAGAAAGTTTGGTACAGCTTGGACGGCCCTTCTGTGAAGAAGAATATTTGAAAACAATTGGTGTCCCCAGAACTGGATTTCCTAGATTATAAGGAAAGTAGATAACATATCTTCATAGTTTGTACATGATCTTATTTGTAACTCATTTTAAATATTTGAAAATACTGTCATTGAGAAACTATACAGAAATGATTTTTAGTATGTATAAAATCTACATGTATTTTTTAGAAGTTATTAATCAAATACCTACCCTGCCAGTCCTCCAAGGAAGACACAGATGGCCAACAGATACATGAAAAAATGTTTATCATCAGGGAAATGCAAATCAAAACCACAGTGAGATACCACCTCACACCTGTGAGAATGGCCTATATTAAAAAGACCAGAAACAATAAATACTGGCAAGGATGTGGAAAAATGGGAAACGTCTTGTACACAATTAGTGGGACTATGCACCAGTTCAGTCACAATGAAAAATAGTATGAAGATTTCTCAAAATATTAAAAATGTATGTATCATACGATCCAGAAGTTCAACCCCTAGGTATCTATCCAGAGATTGTAAAAACTCTAATACAAAAGCATATCTACACTCCTGTATTCATTGCAACACTACTTACAATAGTCAAGTTATAGAAGTTACCTAAGTGCACAAAGACAAAGGGGTAGATTAGGAAGCTATGGTGTATATATACACAATGGAATACTATTTAGCTATAAAAAGATAAACTCTTGCCTTTTGAGACAACATAGGTGGAACTGGAGGAATTATGCTAAGTAATGTAGTCAAAGAAGAAGATCAAACATCATATGTTATCACTTATATGTGGAATATAGAGAAACAAAACAAAGGTCAAATAAACCAAGTCAATAACAAATTCTAGAAATGAAACTGCAGAACTGAGGTTACCAAAGAGGGAGGAAGAGGGGAGAGAGTGAGTTGGGAGGAGGTGCATGGACTATGTGGAGGACTTTCAGTGCCTTTGTTGTTGGTGTGGGGTGGAAACACACACCTGAATGGTGTGTGCACCCCTGTGGTGATCCTGTACCTCTATGGTGATCCTGTACCTCTAAATCATACACAGTGTTTGAAACTCATGTTACCACAATTTAAGAAACAAAGGAAATGTATACTATGATTCCAAAACAAAAGAAAGTAAGCTATATTTTTAAAAGGGATTATATATAGGTAACAGTAATAAGAGGTGATAAAATAATGACTTAAACACATTTTAACTCTGAGGTGAGGGAAGAAACTCTTATGTATAGAGACAGCTGTCTGGGGATGGGATTTCTGGAGGGCTGACAGGGTGGGTGGTAGTTATGTAGGTGCTTGATTAGTAACTGCTAAAAAATACATGTATATTTTATAGTTTACTAAAGTTGGTTCCTTGTAATTTTGAACTCTTTATCTAAGAGTCAGAAAAGATATTCCATGTCTTTGTGGTTCAGTTCTGGAGACTTACTTTTTCTATGTGGTGAAATAATCCCTTGAGGATTTAAGGTGTCATACATTACATTATATTTTCCGTCCCTCCATTTTGGAGTTTTCAAGGTTGCTAGTTTATTCCAGTGTCTTCAAGGTACAGAACTTTCACTTTTCAAGCAGATGGTATAGTATGTTGGGGAG